TATTTACATTTACATCGCTAGACATCAGCCGGGTGATTTGTAAGTTTGGGGCGTCGATGATAAACGGCACCACTCGCAACCATCGGTCCGCCTGTTAGACGTTCATCAAAACATCCATCCTGAGGGACGAGTGTCCTGTTAACATGAGAACAACCCTCGGTTGAAAACCCAAAGCTGCATGCATCAATAGCTGCATTGGAATACGAAAGCTTACAGAGAACGGATCAACATTTGGCCACGCTTCCTATCAAGAATATCAGCTCCAAGTTTTTCTTAAAACTTGACCAACTGGTATGGTAATTTCGTCCCGTTATGGGCTCGCGAGCCGTACAGACTGGGAACTTGTGTTTCAAGGAAGATCGAAGTAGAATACTCCAACCAATGGCAGTTTGTCACAACTTAGAAATACTCGGACCTTTCACCGTAGGGGCATCAGAAGTCCTTAGAAGTTTCATAACTAACTTACCAAATTATGTGCGCTGTTACAAGCGTGACGTACTTCCTGATTTCATCAAGAGGAAAAGTAAATCTTCATCTGATATAGATGAACACGCATACGGTAGAAGACACTAAATTGTATAGAATGTCGTCTGTGCCAAAAGTCATATTTACATCACCAGGGACAACGTACTGTTCGCAAAGCGCCAATGTAGTCGCACACCCAGGCCATATTAGGGATACTGTTGCAAAGGGATCTTATCGCGGTTCCGCGATCTGTCCACTCATGCGCCCAATCGAGCAATATTGGAGGATTGATTTTTCTCCCCTATACCTATCTTGTATGACGGCATTCCCTGTGTTTTTATTTCGGTAATGCGCCTATACCAACTTTCTTGTTTTCGACCTGAACGTAGACCGTTCTTTGACCTCGTCATCGCACGTGTTGTTTTGGTCAACATGTGGTTTTGCTAGCTTGTAAGCACGTGGCTTTGAGTCGGTATAGACTTCGGGATCCGTTGGAAATTAGCCGACGAAGTCGGGTTTGCAAAATTCTATGAGTTTTTTTTATTGAAACTCGACGTGATTTAACTGATTACTGGAAATAATCTATAATAGGGTCCGAAAACCGCGGCCTCCCGACTGGCATTTTATTCTCTTAACATTTCGGTCATTTGCGGCTGAACAGTAGCGTTCTGTCAATGTGAACCAAATCAGATTTCCGTTTAGCCGCTCATGATCCGACGGTCCGATATTCACACACTTGTAGACAGGTGATGAGTCCTAAGCACTGTTGCGTGAGCGCCGTAGCGCTGATTATTCCTGGTAAGAATGAGACAGCTGTGGAGTGTCACCCGGCTGATCACTATGGGTTGACACCAGTGGTGGTGCAAAATTTTGACTTGAGTTACCGAAGTTCTTCAGATCGTCATCAGTTAAGGCCTGTACACACACACACACGAGTGTAGCCCGTCCGACTTCCCACTACAATGGAAAGTCCTAATGGTTAGAATCATGAACTCGCGTTGTCATTCGCATTTTTATTGTCGAACACTAAATGTACTGAGTCATTTGGCACCAACCTCAAAGAACTGACCACCATGTCTGCTACCACAGAGCTTGAGTGTATTCATAATGGGAGGAGATTTAACCGCACAGGTAGAACGCCTCAGCTCATCAAGAGCGACTCTTGACCGAATATTTGATCTTAAAGTAAAAGTAATGATGAAATTCACTTGCGATTCTTCTACCCATCACCAATTTGTTTCTCGGAGTGCTGCATTAAGACGAGTTGGACGGTGCTCTGCATTCTTGAGCCAGCTCGGATGACATAGGCTGCATATGAGCTGAGGTATCCACAGCTATGTTTGACCCCCTGAAACTTGGCTTGTGCTGCTTTCGAGCGCGCATTTGGCAGTCAGCAGTTCTTTAAACGAACGTTAGCACGCCTCGAGAGGCTCCCTGTCCGCTCGGGCCCATAGCCAAACTCAGCCATATTATCGATTGTGTGACAGCCAACACGCATCCCACTGCGCATGTAGACCTTGTGAAAAAGGAAGCCTGAGGAATGAGGGAGGCATGCGAGTTTTGCTCAGGACTATTTTCTTCCGTTTGGGCGACATTTACAGGATGCTTACATTGATCGTTTCTATTGCGGAGCACCACTTCTGGACTTTAAGATGATGCGATTATAAATCTTGGAAGGATTTATTTCTGGACTCTTTTAAACGCATATTAATGAGTGGGACAAGCAGGTGTGGAAAAGGCGACCGGGCAGTTTCTATCTCTCCACCTCTCACTCTTGGTTTTTAAGAGTTAAACAAAGTTGTGTTGGCTTTCGTGAGGCAGTCTAAAATTTGTTGATTTATAGAGACATGTGTAGCTCGAGTGTGTTCACTGTGGTCTGACCAGCCGGTGAACAGATCATCTACCATTTGCACAATTAACAGTGTGAAATCGGTTCATCACGACGGATTTTGTGTTCACAAGATTCGAAACTACTTTTACGCCTGATGTTAATGAAATCACGAATACGTCGCCAATCACATACTACTGCGTTTTTTAAATAAGATTCGAGCTACCACGACTTTACCGTGGTGCTCAGATTCATGTAAAGAGTGCTCTTTTAATTCTGGTGGTGTTAAACTGTAGGCCTTGATCCACTTCCCTAATTCGTGTATCGTAAAAATTTTGTCGCTCATTAAATTAACGCGGGTAATGTATTGAAAGCCAACATTGCGCGAGAACGCGACCCAAATCAACGGTCGTAATCAAGAGTGACCAGTATTTGGAAACGTGACCATACAGTTGGTGGCCCATGGCGATGTGATCAATTCGATTCCCTCGTTGCCCACCAGTAAAGGGACGCTCGCTGCATCCAAATCCATTACTGTTGGCAAAAACTTGGTAGTCAGCACAAAGTTGAAAACGGCAATTCCTGTTGTCGTGTCATTTGACCTGTAGGTTAGATACCCAATCCAAATGTACGTCTGGCGAAGACCCCAGTCATTATGAAACATTCGCTGGACTAACGCATATTATCTTCCGGTCAAATGTGCTTATTCGAGGCCGCACCTCGTCGCCGCACAATTGAACACTATAAATAAAGAGCGCTCTAAGTTTGACAAGTGCCAGTCCTCATAGAGATGAAGGATCACAGATTAACGGATTCACGGATTGATACACAGGATTGAGGCTATTGCTCAAGTTTTCTGGGTCGCTTTTGTTCTTGTCGGTCAGTGGCTGTCGTTCACCTGAAAGGCACAAGTGAAAAAAGGTTGTGGCACTGCTCGTTATGTTCTCAGCGTGGGGCAGTATGCTTGCCAGCGCGAGGATTCGCATAAATAAATGTCTAATAGTGCTTTAAACTGGGTTCTAGAAGGAGCGTGAACAACCGCCGGAGGAAGGTCATTAGACGCAGCTACTACCCGAAATGAGAAAAAATTTTGTCTAATGAATGTGTGTGCTCTGATCTTGAAAATTTTCCTACTATGTCCCCGCCGGGTGTTTGCTGGTTCAACGGTAAAAAACCTGTTTGCCAAGCTTTGTTCAAACAGGGCATAAGTAAGAATTAGGTCCTCTCGGAGGCGACGATACTCCAGGGGAAAGAGATCAAGCATTGCGAGACGCGTTTCATAGTCCACGGATTTGAGCTTGGTAACCATTCTCGTGGCGGCTCGCTGGACAGACTCAATGAGGGTAAAGTCTTTCGTGCGTCCTGAGTAGACATCTTGGTTGGCGTATTCCAGGAGCGGTCTGACTGGTATCAGATCAAAGGATACCAGTCTAGCGAAATAGCTACAGCATGCGAAACGAGAGCTATGCTAGCGCAGGTGTACCGCCGCATTAGTTGAAAATCGTATAAACTCCGCAGCGAACAGTGGCTGCGAGCCTAATAAAAATGGTCGGAACTTTTATTCAGCTCTTCGAAGTTTAACATACGTTTAGATTGACAAGAATGGTAACAGGGGCAGTTGGCTGGTCAATTTAATCCGCAGAATTAACTTTCCCTAAACGCTGTGCCTACGTTCAGATTGTCAAGAATGGTAACAGGGGCAGTTAGCTGGTCAATTTAATTAGCAAAATTAATTTTCCCTAAACGCTGCGATGAAAAGGGGAATAATATTCGGAAGGCGGACGTCAGTCAATTGATTAGCTCAACTTCGTGAATTTGTTCAGTTTTCTGGGTACCCGAACGTCATACACAAAGCTCGGATACATATAAGCGTGAGTAATAGGTGTGTGAAGAACAATGAGGGATGGCACAATGGGCGAAAAGAGCGATTTCGTGATTGATCTCTCGTAATCTGGTAATAATAACAATAATAATGTATATTTTCAACTTGTGGGGGGCCTACCGTCTGGCATGATCATACGTTTACAACCAGAGTAAAGCATAACTGGGGGGTTTGCGATACTGGAGAGTGCGTGTGAAAGCGCACAATGTCGCAAACAGTGGGCAATATCTGAGGAAATAAGAATAATAGGTTGATTTCCAAATTGTGAGGAGGATGCTGTTCGAGTAATGATAGAGTCATTATAACTTGCACGAGGCAAGCAACAATAAAACGGGAAGGAAGGCACAACCAAAATGAAAAGTCATCGCAGCTGCAAGAACCGAGAAAAACCAGGACACTGGACATGAGGTCCGACCAATTTGAAGCTGCAAGAAGAAAAACCAGGACACTGGACATGAGGTCCGACCAATTTGAAGACGAAGCCGGCTAAAATGAACTAAAAGTGAGAGCCACTCACTGCCATGAGTGACCTTGGACGGCTGAGTAAATAGCCAGAGTCACAACAAGCAAAAATGGAGATGGAATAATTCGAAGTAGAAGCAATTGGCAAATTTTGTTTCGAAAATATGGTTTACCTGAAACTAAGTAGACTCACTGGTGCCACGGTTGTAGGGAAGTCAGTGCAAGGGATAGATTCGACGAAGAGAGAGTGCTAATGTCCCTGACCAAACGAACACCAAATATGGAATTAAACTTGTGGAACAGGCAAACCGAAACTGCAGCATAAAACCGGGTTGGTCAAATCCGAACGAAAGTTTCATCCAGTTAGAATGTACTCGTCCTGGAGGCGGTTAGGGCCATGTGGAAAATTTGCTCGCAGTTGAAACTACAGGCTCGCTTGGGAGATAGGTTGCGGTTGAGATTCTGAGGAAAATAGTTGTGGGAGTGCCACCTTACTGGGTATGGCAGTGCCATGCCACCACTTCACTCACATACTTCAGTTTATGGACAGCTCGTAACGGTCGTCAAGGATGCC